TGAGACTCTTGGCTGGGCCAAGTTAGTGCTGACCAGGACAGGCTGTGTGCTTTTAAAAATGATTTTTCTTTCGCTATGCCACGCTAGCAGACCTAGTACTCATCACGTAGCCCAGCCTGGCCTCAGACTCTTGGCAAAACCTGTCTTAGCTTCCTGAATGCTGGGGTTACAGGCACTCACTGCCATGCTTGGCTTGAGCTCTTTTTATTTTTCATTTTATTTATTTATTTTGGTTTTGTTTTGTTTTGTTTTGTTTGGGACAGAGTTTCTCTGTGCAGCCCTGGCTGTCCTGGAACTCCCTCTGTAGACCAGGCTGGCCTCGAACTCAGAGATCTGCCTGCCTCTGCCACCTAAGCGCTGGGATTAAAGACTTGCGCCACCACCACCACCACCACCACCCAGCTGCTTGAGCTCTTTTGAGTTTAAAGAGGAGAAGCTTAGATCTAAGTGCTTGTATTTCCAGTGCTGTGCTCCTAGGCCTGGGTCCTAAGTCACTAGCTCCAGCCTTTCAGAGCCTCTCCTCACTGGGTCGGTGGAGGGAACTGTACCGCCTGCTCCAGGCTGTTGTGAGGGTCAGATGGGAGCAGATATGTGAGGAGGCTCTGGCAGGGAGGGGCGGCAGCAGGGATAGGGAACAGGGTCTGCTGAACAGGCTGGAGAGAAACCCCACCCGCCTGCAGAAGAGAAGACTTCACAGTGGCCGATGGGCAGAGACTGGCAATCCACAGTGATATTAAGCATTTGTATCCGCTATCCAATTGTAAATACCCTTCTCAATGCTCATATGCACACACACAAAAAAAGCAGCAGAGCTGTGACGGAGGAAGCTGACTGTTTGCTTTCTCACCGTCTCTCCCGACAGGAGCATATGCAAGTGTCTATTAATGTGCACCTTCTGTGTCGTGGCAAAGAGAGTTCTCACCCGAGATGTGAAATGTGTCTGCTCTCTGTAAAAAGACGACGTCGCGAAAGTGGATTTAACGAAGTCACACTGATTATTATAGAGGAAGATTTAGCTATTTATCTTATATTAGAAGTTTTGTAGCCTGCCAGAGGTGTCTCAAGTCTTTAATCCCAGCACTCAGGAGGCAGAGGCAGGTGGATCTCTGAGTTCGAGGCCAGCCTGGTCTACAGAGCAATTTCCAGGACAGCCAGGGCTACACAGAGAAGCCCTGTCTCAAAAGACAAAACAAAAGTACTTTGTCATATAGTTTATTTTCCTTCTGTATTTATTATATAATCTCATGTGCCTTAAATTTTTAAGTAAAATATCAAATTGTATAATGTAACACAGTTATTTCTTGCTCTTCCTGGAGCACCTTGGACATGAGACTCCGTGGACGCTTAAGCCGCTGGTATAAAATAACACAATGCCTGCGCCTCACTTGCAAGCCATCTCCAGTCCTGAGAATCATCTCCAGAGTCTTTGCGACAATGGCAACGCTGCCAGAACAGTGACCCTGTGCCGCTCAGGGCACAAGGACAAAAGTCCGTGTGCTCAGTGCAGACACATTTGAAACAGTCTTTCTGACCCGCCGTTGGCTGACTCTGTGCGTGTGCGGTCTGTGGAGACAGATGCACTGGGTAGAAGAAAAGGATTAAAATTCTTGCATTTTAGCATGGGTGTGCCCCGTCCAGCCTCGAACACTAGACTCTGCTTTACTGACGCATAGCTTTCTCTCCTCCTGTGTCCTTATCTCACTGTCTATCCATAGTCTGCTTCCTTCAGGGTGTAACCCCAGACCCCTGTCACATGGAGTTTGCTGTGTGCCCCACCCCATCTCCATGGCCTCTCCCTACAAACGTCTCATGATGCTATCTCTCAATTCCTTTTTTAAATTTTGTGTCTCCCCACCCCCATTTTCATGTGCGTGTGTACGTGTGTGTGTGTGTGTGTGTGTGTGTGTGTGTGTGCAGTGCATATGTTTGCGTGTGTGTGCAGTGTGGAGGTCTGAGATGGATGACAAGCATCTCCTTTGATCATTCTTCCACCCTATCGATTGAGGCAGTGTCTCTCCACGAAATCCAGAGCTCTCCAGTGTGGCTGGTCTCACTAGCCAGCGTCTTCTGGGGATCCCCTATCTCTGCCCTTGGAAGCTGAAATGACAGGCAGTCTGCCACACCGACCAGCATTTATTTGGGATTCGGGAAGCTGAACTCTAGTCCTCACGATTGTGTGGCGAGTGCTCTCACGACTGAGCAGGCTCTTCAGTCTGTATGCTCCTTTTCCACCACAGCTGGCTTTGCTGTGGCTCTTTGGTTCTTATTCTCTTACTTGGAATCAGTCTCATGCTTGCAATGAGATCACAGCATCCTGTTGTCAATGTTCCTACGCTAACGTTTCTGATATCTCCCAGAATCCCTCACTGTAACACCTTGTACACAGCAGGCTATAGTGAATGTGTGTGGGGATTTAACCACTCAGCTTCCTTTGGCCAGGGTTTGATGTATGCATCAGTTCCAACCACTGGGGACAATACATGAATCAGAAAGGTAAATGGAAGAGAGCGGTTAACTTGCACAGGTAAGCTCTTCCGGGCCTGCTAATCCTCTAGTTTTTTGGACTTTTCCATGAATTAGATTAGCACAGAGCAGCTACTGCTTTCATTTACTTTTCGGATGCGGCGATTATCCGCCAGAGTTGAAATGAACGGTATACCCTCTCTGTCCCTTTGGGCCTGCCTTGACCTTCCTGGGCCAACGCAGCTGTCTGGCCTCACAAATGCTTCCTCTTCCTTCTGTCCATCCCAGATCAGATACAGCTCTCCAAGGGGCTTCTTGGGGACCCTGAGACCATATCAGTGTGTCCTCTGACATCACATCCATCCCTTTACATGACATATACACTATATATAATATTTTATATTTTTTCTAGTGAGACAGATGTTCCCCACTAAAATATAAGCTATGAAAATAAGAAATGTATGTCTTTCTTGCCAACTAGGACTCAGTTCTCCTAATAAGAAGAGCAGTGATTTTTTTTTTGTTTGTTTGTTTTCAAGACAGGGTTACTCTGCATAGCCCTAGTTGTCCTGGAACTCACTCTGTAGACCAGGCTGGCCTCGAACTCAGGGAAATTCACCTGCCTCTGCCTCCTGAGTGCTGGGACTAAGGGCATGCGCCACCACTGCCCGGCTGGAACAGCGGATTTAAGTTGCAGTATGATTAAGAAGGCAGGGATTTGTTTCTGCGCTGTAAGAGGCCCTTTAGTGGCCAGTTCAAGCCAGGCTGTTCCCTGTGCTGCTCGCTGAGAGCGCCATCCCTGGGCTGCTGGTCCTGGGTTCTATAAGAAAGCAGGCTGAGCAAGCCATGGGGAGAAAGCCAGTTCAGTAGCATTCCACCATGGCCTCAGCATCAGCTCCTGCCTCCAGGTTCCTGCCCTGTGTGAGTTCCTGTCCTGACTTCCTTTGATGGTGAACTGTGATGTGGATGTGTTCCATCACAGCAGTAGTAACCCTAAGAAAGACATCTCTGCAGTGGTCAGTTCTGGGAAACTCAGAGATCCCAAAGCATGGCCCTAAGGAAAGCAAGGCTTAGGGACCATTTCTCTTGACTATCTGAGAGGGGCTGATGGCTTCTGCCGAGGCACATCCCTCCTTTCCTGACCACATCACACACCAGGGAAGCCAAAGCTCCAGGACGCTTTCTATGATGCGGTGATCTGGCAGTCCTCAGTGTGGGAGGCGTCAGAAATCTCAACGTTAGAAGGGCGGGCACAATGCAAACGTTTGCTTTCAAAGCCTCCTCTTTGAACTCAGTTGAGAAATGGCATCTCCAGCCACCTGTGCACTTTGCTGTCCCCATGGGAGGGAGGTGGACGGGGCACTCCGCTGAAACTGCTTTCTGGCTGTTGCAGGACCAATCTCACCTGGCACAGTTACGGCTTTCCCTGGCATTCCTGTGGCTTTGGAATACGCTTTGGGGACCATATCCACTTCCCTAATATTACCACTGGACGATTCCATCTGTCACATGTGGCGGTAATTTCTTCCCGTTTCAAGCCTTAGTCCCTGTGATTCAGAGGACCGCCCATGCAGGGCAGCTGCCGGGTGGCCACAGGAACACATCAGTGCTCATCGGGGTTGACACTCAGACTCCCACGGGATTCCTGACTTGGCAACCCAGGGAAAGAAAATCACTTAGGGAAAAGTGGGCAGGATGCCGCATTTCCGTTCATGCCAAAGGCAGGGCCCTGGGTGTAGAACGGATGCCACACGCAGCATCATCTTTGGCCGGCTGCTCAACTGGCTTGAAAGTCTCCATTGTCACAGTGGGAAAAGAAAAGGTTGAAGAAATGGTCACCGCAAAATTCTCACGACTTTTACTTCTTTGCTCATGGCCCCTCGACGCAGGCCCAGGCAGAGTTGACACCATGTAGAGGCCTTCTCCCTAAGATGACCTCTGCCACCTGCGTGCATCAGTTTGAGACGTTAGCGGTTTCGTCTCGGCGGTGATTGATGGCAATGAGTGCCTCCGTCATCTGTCCCTTGTTGATCAGACTTGTCCCTGGCTGTTAGCAACAGACTGCTCTCAGGGCAGAATGATTAAGAGTGGCAGCCCTAATTGCACGGCTGTTGTACCCACCAGCGGCACGGGAGCCTGGCTCATAAATCCCTTGAGGATCTGTGGTCCAGGCACCTGTTCTGCCAAATCCCCGGGGCCCGCCTGGAAGAGTCCTGCTGAACAGCAGGCTCTACCCGGCATATCCGTATTCTGACCTCACACTGACTTAGCTCTTCTGTTCTCTCCTTTCCTTTATCCAGTTTCATAGTCACCTAGCTACATACTAGCTATGCTTTGTCTTCCTATTTTGAGAGTGTTTTTGTTCGTTGTAGAGAAATGAGAAAATCTAGCTCATTGCCAGGTGGCGGCAATGCACGCCTTTAATCCCAGGACTCAGGAGGCAGAGGCAGGTGGATCTCTGTGAGTTCGAGGCCAGCCTGGTCTAGAGATCGAGTTCCAGGACAGCCAGGGCTATGCAGTGAAATCCTGTTCTTGAAAAACCTTCTAGCTAACTAAGATCAAGTCTAACATCTGTTCACATCAGTTTAATATCTGATGTACCCTCTACCTGAAGATAATATAGTAATTGGACTCTTGGAGCTGGGGAATGGAATAGGAACTAGTTTGCCCACCCCACACTTTGGTCTGTCATATCAGTGATTCCAAGAATGGTGTACTCCTTCCTGGGACTTGAAAACTTAAACACTGGACATGGTAGCTCATGCTTATCACTCAGAGGCCGGCAGAGGGCTGTGAATTTGAAATAAGCATGGTCTACATATGGAGAACCTGTCTTGAAAAACAAAACAAAAAGCTATTTTATACTCATAACAACACTGAGTCAAATTACTTAACCAGGAACACATCACTAGTCACTTAGTTTAGTTCCATTTTTTTGCTTTTGGAAGTAAAGTCACTGTGAACATCTCTGGCTGGAATTTATCCAATTCACATTCTTTCTTTCTTGGGACAAATACCTAATTGTGGAATGGCTAGGTCAAAAGAATACACGTTTTCTAAAAGATTTATTTTTACCTTTTGAAAGGCGTGTGTGTGTGTGTGTGTGTGTGTGTGTGTGTGTGTGTGTTGTGTGTGCGCGCACACATGCGCAAGTGCCCTGAGAGACCAGAAGAGGACATCAGATCCCCTGGAACTGGAATTACAGGCAGTTAGTTCTTAGTTCCTATGCTGAGGCTGGGAACCCAACCTGGGTTTTCTGCAAGGGCAGTATGAACTTTCTTCCTTACTGTTATTTTATTTTATTATTCTTCCTCTTCCTCCTCTTCCTCCTCCTCTCCCTCCTCCTCTTCCTGCCTCATCTCTTTGCAGTATGCACTCCTAACCACTGGGCTATCCCTCCAGCCCCTTGATTCTGTTTTTAACTTCATACTGTGAACTCACAGCCTATAATTTGGGAAACAGGGCTGTGACAGGATGCTTACCCAGTGCCACGAGGCCCTGGGTTTGATCCCCGCGCCACACACACAAAAAAAAACCCAAACCCAAACAGCATCCATACGTGGACATGTGAGGCTGAACGTTACGGAGAGTCCTCCTCTGCCCGCTCAACAGCGATTAGCTTCTGGACATTTCCCCACTCCCATCGTCAACGCATTCCTTCATTTGTTTTAGGAGCAGAGCCAAGACATTCTGCCAGAAAGAATCACTTCTGCTTTTGATCCTGCTCCACCCTTGAGGCGATGAGCTACTTGAAAGTGGGAGAGAGGTTCTTGCTCTCCCACCCCAGCTTCCTCTTTGCCTCCCTCCCCACCTCTGAACCAGCGAGTGCATTTTAAAGCAGATCCTGCCAGCCCCCTGCAGAGACTTTGATCAAATTATTCTTCTGCCACCATCCCCAGGAGTGCCCAGGCTTGCTAACCCTCAGGTCATTTTCCTCCTCTCCTCTTGGCTTCTCTACACCCATCCCCTCTCCTTTTTCAGTTCTTTTTCGTAGAACACAAGCGATGTAAGTGTTCTGTCCTTGAACACCTCTGTGGTGTTTTGAAAGAAAATGGCCCTCAAAGGGAGTGGCACTGTGAGGAGGCGTGGCCTTGTTGGAGTGGGTGTGGTCTTGCTGGAGGAAGTGTGTGATGATGGGGGCGGGCTTTGAGGTCTCTTGTCTCAAGCTTCACTCAGTGTGACAGTCAGTTGACTTCCTGTTGCCTCTGAGTCCAGATGTAAGGACTCTCATCTCCAGTACCCCGTCTGCCTACATGCCACCGTGATGATAATGAACTGAACCTCTGAAACTGTAAGCGAGCCACCCCAATTAAATGTTTTCCTTGATAAGAGTCGCCGTGGTCATGGTGTCTCTTCACAGCAATAGAAAGCCTAACTCAGTCCTCATTTTCATTTGGGAAGAATACCACTGTTACCTGTTACCGTTGGGAGTTACCCGGTTATGAATGAGTTCTCTCATTGAATATTTGCATTTCCTCCTTTGTGAATTGTCTTCTGTTAATTTTCCTGCTGAGTGTTTGCTGTTTTTGAGATTGCCATTTGGGTTTACCCAATAGCGTTGTGCTTGCACCAGTGAATTGCCGGGGCTACTTTTTCAGACTCACAGTCACAGATATATGCCTTCATAGGAGAGTCAGTTTGCTTTCTAAAGCCAACAGCTGATCCGCAATTCACAGCTCACAGTCAGACCAACAGGCAGGGCAGACTGGCTGGAGGTGGGCGCATGCACGGGGGACTAAGTGTGGGACAGGAGTCTGCAGGCCCTGGAGATCCTAGCAGGGACATGGAGAAACACCCTGCATGACCAGTTTACGTCAGCTTGACACAAGCTAGAGTCATCTGAAAGGAGGGAGCCTCGACTGAGAGAATGTCTCCCTAAGATCTGGCTGTACGGCATTTTCTTTATTAGTGATCAATGGGGGAGGGCTCAGACTGTGGTGCCATCCCTGGGCTGGTGGTCCTGGGTTCTATAGGAAAGCAGACTGAGTAAGCCATGGTGATCAAGCCAGTAAGCAGCACCTCTCCATGGCCTCCGCATCAGTTCCTGCCTCTAGGTTCCTGCCTTGTGTGAGTTCCTGTCCTGACTTCTTTCAATAATGAACAATGATATAGAAGTGTAAGCCAAATAAATCCTTTCCTCCCCAACTGGCTTTAGGTCAGGGGTTTTCATCACAGCAATAGAAGCCCTAACTCAGACACACCCCCAGGTCACTCAGTCTCTCTCCCTTCTCTCATGGTTATATACCTGGGGTAGGTAAGACAGATAGCTACTGCCTTTACTACTCTGGGTTCTTATTTTTTCTTTTTCTTTTTTTGGTTTTTAGAGACAGGGTTTCTCTGTGTAGCTTTGGCACCTTTCCTGGAACTCACTCTGTAGCCCAGGCTGGCTTCGAACTCACAGAGATCCGCCTGGCTCTGCCTCACGAGTGCTGGGATTAAAGGCGTGCGCCACCACCGCCTGATGCTACTCCAGTTTCTCATGATTTTAGGTCACACTCATGTAAGATCCTGTAGTTAGAATTTTCCTATCCTGACCACCCACTCCCCGTCCAGGCAGCTTCTTCCAAATTACCACACAGAGACTTAATATTATTTATAAATGCTTGGCCAATAGCTCAGGCTTGTTACTGGCTAACTGTTGCACCTAAATTAACCCATATTTCTATGCTTTGCCACATGTCTCATGGCTTGTTACCTCATTTTCTACACATCCTGCTTGCTTGGTGGCTGGCTGGTGTTTCTCCTGACTCCACCCTTCTCCTTCCCATCATCCTTAGTTTGGTCACCCCACCTATACTTCTTGCCCAGCTTCTGATCAATCAGCATTTTATTAAACCAATTTGAGTGACAAATCTTTAACAGTGTACAAGAGGATGATTCCACAGCAAAATCCTGCAATCCCCAGGCTGGGAACTTTCTATCACATCATTGATCATGTGTTTATTTGTAGAAGGCAAATAATGCTTTAAAATACAGCAAATGTTAGTGAAAATGAACTCTCTCTCTCTCTCTCTCTCTCTCTCTCTCTCTCTCTCTCTCTCTCTCTCCTCTCTCTCCCCTCTCTCCCCATTCCTTTTTAAACTATTTTTCAGCACGAAGGCCCTGGACCAGGTGAATATAACTTAAAAGCACCCTCAGTGGGCTGCATCACTTCTTGTTTTCGATCTAAGGTTCCCCGATTCTTGCCTGTCGGCTCAGTAAGTATTCCAAAACAGAATGTGTGTTGGGGGGGGAATGGGGGGGTGAGGGGGGATGGGCGGTCTTAGGATCCCACCTGTGTGGTGGGGGTGGAATGGGGGGGAGGGGGATGGGCGGTCTTAGGACCCCACTGTGGGGTGGGGGTGGAATGGGGGGGTGAGGGGGGGATGGGCGGTCTTAGGATTCCACCTGTGTAGGTGGGGATTGTCACACAAGGCTTCAGTCAAACCTCTAGTTACTTCTGTCTTAAGGGCAGGCCACTGAAGGCTCTTAGGTAGGCCACGCCTGGGAGTTATTCCAGAAAATAACATTGTAATTACCTCAGTGGCCTTTTCTGTTTTACATGGGAAAGTTTCCCCGCTGTGAAAGTGTCCACCAAGGCTGGGAGATGTTTGGAGTTAGACCCACCAGGCGCAGAGGGGTCTGCTTGTCAGTTTTTTCCAGGGAAAATGCTCTGTCTCTGGGTACCTGAGGCTGCAGGCATCTGCTCAGGGGATTACTTTTCTGACACACCTCACACCTTGCACTGCCTGCTGGATTGTCTCACTTAAGCCTTGTCCTAGAAACATGTTTCTCCCTCTCAAAATAATGTGTTTTCCTGTCTCGGGTGATAGATCTGATGTAGGGACTCCACGACGTTCCTTTGTAGGACCCCTGGGGTCTGGATGCCACCCTGTCACACAAGCAAAGGCCACTTCCTCTGAGGGATATTCGGCTCTCCCGAGAGGCAGCAGGGACCCTTCCTGAAGGGTGGGGCTCTCTAGGTGTCTCGTGCAGCTCTCCTGGCCTCAGAATCAGCTGTCTAGTTCCATCTGGTGTTGGGCCATCCCTCCCTGGTGCTCAGGGCACTGCATCACAGCCACTTGGGTGGGTAAGAGGACTGCATCCAGACGCCTGACAATTTCTTGGGGATGTTTTACAGGGGTCGGGTCCCAGCTGTACTTGGGAGGTCTCTTTGCTTCCAAATAGTGTCATGGGCGTGGAGGACAAGGAAGGCATATCTGGAGTCTGTGTAAACGTTAACTCTGTTTCTTTGGGACCGATCTAGAGCCTGAGTGAGAGCTATATCGGCTCTGCTAACTGAGTCCTTGAGTTTCTAGGTGTCTGTCCTGATTCAGGCACCTCGAGGTCAACGACTATTGCATATTCTGCATATCGGAGTCCCTCTTTTACAAGGACTTTGTCTGTATAGAGGACCAAGTCAGGGTTTGCCCATGGTTGGTCTGAGAGATCGGGATGAGCTGTATAACCATCCATGAGGACCTTCTCACAAGAGTGGGCAGGCTCCCTTTCCTCTCCTGGTATATGTGAAGTCTGTTACCAGCCAGCCAGAGGTTTCCCTTGGAATTAGAATGTTTGTTACGTGATGAGGTTTATGGACCTTCAGGGGACAGCCAAGAGTCAACTTTTGGGCTTCAGGAATTAGGAGTCCAATGGCAGCCACTGCCCATAGGCACCCAGGCTAGCCCTTTGCCTCCTGACCTGATTCTTTACTTAGGTATCCTACAGGCTGAGGAGAGGTGCCTTTGAGCTGGGCCATCACCCCCAAAGCTGCGCCCTGTCTCTCAGCTATGGACTCATGATTTGGGGCTGAGTAGGTGACCCTAAGGCAAGGGCTGTCGCCTTCAGACTGTCAACTGCAGAGCAGCTGGACTACACACTTGGTAGAGGGACCCTTGGAGAAGTGATGCGGACAGACAGTGTAATTACAGACAGATGGACAAGTGGCTGGAGAGCTTCCATACTTCAGCGGCATCAGCACAATCCAAAACAGACATCCGACCGGGTCTATAGGGCAGACCTTTCCCATGATAACCTAACTGCCAAGAACACTGAGAAAATTACCAGAAACTACAGTGTCCAGCAAGCAGGGGCTGGTGTCTGGGGCTGCTGCTTCCTCTTAGAGGGAAATTTCAAGGTCACCTGGTGACCGTGAAATTAGAGCCAAGGGATCCTATTGGATGATCTCTGGGTGTGTGTGTGTGTGTGTGTGTGTGTGTGTGTGTGTGTGTGTGTGAGACAAGGTGACAGAGCCACAACTGTCAGCCTTCCGAGGTGTGGTTTTGTGTGTGAGTGTGTGTGTGTGTGTGAGTGTGAGTGTGTGTGTGTGTGTGTGT